TCCCTATTATGTTTGATGTATGTGTCTTACTTTTATCTTTAATTAAATATTTTGATGTATTTTCATTTTCATTTAAATGCATTTGTGTGTACATATGTTTTGCATGACATCTTAATTAATTTTACATGATAACCTCATAAGCATCCCTTGACTCTAATCGAAATAAGTTGACTAAGGGTGATATTCGATCATTTTAAAATTATCGAAAGAAATTTTCTAATACGTGAATATTTAATACATTTTAATGTATAGCATTAAACTTTAATATTAGAACTGACATTTCATATTTGATCCCTAAGTTCCTTAATTTTCATAATTTGACACTTTAAGTTAGAATAAACCTTAATTTACTTTTAGTTTAATTAGGACAAATAAAATTTTGTTTGATTGCATTGTTATTTTACAAATCTAAGGCAATGTTCACTTATTAAGGAATTAATAGTATATCTCCCGCGATCGTGCTTAGGGGGTGACTACTGGTAATTCCTTGAATAAGTCGACATCCTTTTCAAAATCACATCATGTTTTCTAAAAATGAGGTAATATTCGGTTATTAGGCACAATAGCTGATCTCCCGCATTTATGCTCGGGGGCGAATGTTATCGGCAATAAACGAATACCCTTTTCAACTTTGCATCCTTAATGATGTTTAAATTAAATAAAGATCGAACTCTAAATTTCTGATTTTAAATATAGGGTAATCAACTAGGTACTAATTTTTGGGTGCTTGTGGGGGTGATAATCCTTCCCCACGCGTAACTGACTCCCGAACCTGATTTCTGGATTTTCACAGACCTCAAAACTCGATATTTTGATAAAAAAACAAAATGTTTTATTAAAATCATCCGGTTTTTATGGTGTTCCAATCTCACCTTAAATGATTGGTGGCGACTCCTTACCTTTCAAAACAATTTTCAAATAGAATACCCCATTCGATATCGGTATTTCCCCGTCCTGGCAAAAAGCGGTTACGATAGCTTGGCGACTCCGCTGGGGATTTTTGTTTTTCTTAAACAAGTTGAGAGTCTAGCCACAAGTTGGGTACCCTATATTTATGATTTTGGAAATTTTGAGTTCGATATTATTTAATATATGGTTCATTATGGTCTTAAAAAAAGATTCTCTCTGGTTAATGCTTACACTTCTGTGAAATATTTAGGAGTGTTGCATATCATAAGTTCTAACCCGAGCTCAACCCCTATTTACCTAAGTAGAGAGAAACGTCACACCTCACGAGGAGCATTGGGCTTCCTTGTGTGGGTCTGACAAAGTATCTCTGGAAAGCACCCTAAGTTGCCTATCCAGATACCAGATCCGAGGTACACTTTTAGTGGTGTGATCCCCTGAGCTGAACCCAATTCGCAAGTCTGTAATGGGCCAGAATCGGGGGGCAACCTTAGCAGGTTGTAAAGATGGCTTGGGAATCATTTTCTAGAACCCAACCTCATATAAAGAATTTAGTAAGCCTACCCCGTTAAAGCCATGCAGATAACTTAGAAGAACTAGATTACATGATGTTAGGATTTTTAAATTTCTTTTATTATTTCGCATTCGATACTTTAAATTTTCATTAATTATTCTTTGATTTTTTAAATTATTCTAATATCACTAACTTATTGTTTTGTTTCCTGATTGCATGTATCATTATCATATCACATCATTTCATAAACGGTATTGATTCCCAAATCACCTAGTTATTATATAAAAGCTTAAGGCAACAATGTCTTTCGATGGGACTGAGAATGTAATTAGTGTTCAGACCTGGTCTGAATATGGGCAGACACGATTCGGGGATAGCCTTGTCACTACCGAAGATTCAGTTTTGCCAGAAAAGGTAACTATCCGAGTCAGACAGGCACATTGGGTTGAGTTATCAAGAATTTGGTCTACCTGGGATGATAATGAGAAGACACTATTCAGAGGGATATACGGCGACATTATAGAGCTACTGAGAGCACCAATAGATTCAGTGGTGGTTCGAGCCCTTGCCGAGTGTTGGAATCCAGCTTACAGGTGTTTCACTTTTGGTAAAGTAGACATGACCACGACCTTGGAGGAGTATACAACTTTGTTGAATATCCCGAATGTTAGAAGACATTCCATTTACACCAAGGCAATTCGACCTAAAGGGTTCATAAACAAGATGATCACGCTGACGGCAAAGACCAAGGAGTGGGTCGAAGAGTACATTCGTGATGAGGGGATCTCATGGGCTCAGCTGAAAAGTTTAATTTACGAGCAAACTTCATCGAAAAGAAGAAGAGATCACTTCGCCCTTGCGGTATATGGTTTGGTAATTTTTCCCAGGAACGAGGATCACTTTGACATCGCCTTAATCGATTTCGTTGAAGCTATCGCTAGAAAGAATCCTGCACCAGCCATCCTTGCGGAAATATTCTTGTCACTGAACCAGTGTAGACGATTGGGGGGAGGTCAGTTCACCGGATGTGTCTCACTATTACTAGTTTGGTGGTGGAGCCACTCCTGGATAGTCGAGAAAGGTTGGGCTCTGAGACATCAATCAAATTTTTCACCTCTTATGGATTTCCTCAACAAATGCCAAATCCCCGAGCATCGTAAGAGGAAAGACTGGGTTGAAGCTCTCTGTAACATGAAAGATACTGAGATAGTATGGAAGGCTTACTGGTTACCCGAAGAGGACATACTTTTCAGGTACGGTAACGATAGTTTTGTAATGCTGCACGGATTATGGGGAGCAATCGGGTATACTCCGCTAATTGTACTCAGACAGTTCAATACCCGATAGTTCGTACCAGCTACCCACAACCTGAAAGAGGCAGAGTTTTCTTTCTCTACTCCGGGTTACCGAGAGCGAATTTCAAAGATCTATGCGGCTTGGCAGAAGCCTCAATGGATGAGTTTCAAGATGATAGAGCCTGTATTCACGTCGGCCAATGAGGTTTGGAGGTCGCAGAGAATTAACAACAACACACCTAAGCCAAATTTAGAGGACAAGTTGACTATGAAGGAGCGATTGAGGAGGCTCCCGACAGAAGCTGAGTTGTTAAAAGAGGAAATGCGACTGATGAATCTAGAGAGAGAAAAAGAACAGAGAAGCTTCTCGGAAGAGAAGACAATATAGGAACTCGAAATGATTAAGAAGGATGGAGTGATAAAATAATTGGCCAAAGAGAAAGAGAAGGTCTAGGAGAATTTTGATGCTAAACCTAGATTTCTGGGCCTTAGAGAAGAAAATGAGAGCCCATGGTCTACATCATACTGCCAAAACCCTAAAGATAAAACTCGATAGGGAAGAAAGAAGCGCAAGAAGAGGCCAAGAAGAAAAGAAACGAGCCATACAACATGCTCGAAAACTGAGAGAGCAAAGAGATGAGGCCAACCAGGAATTAGCACAAAGGCGGGCACAGATTGAACAACTTGAGGCACAACTGCTTAGTATTGATGAGACTTTTCGGAACCCTTACAACAATCTTCAAAAAGAAAATGAGATGTTAAAGAAAAAGATAGCGGAGCTAGAAGGAGCAGGGTTGATCCACTCATCTGCACAAGAGGTAACCATGCAAGAAAACGAGGCCTTAAAAGTGAAGATTACTAAATTAGAAGTCATAGTGAATAGATGCCATCAACGAATCCAACAGCTAGAAGAGAGCCGACCATTAACTAATCCAGAGCTTGGAATTGCTCTACGACAGGCTCAGGATACCATTCAAAGGCAACATGAAGCAATGGAGAGAGCAATGGGTCTGGCTCGCGATGTAGCTCGCCAAGTCTACGAGTTATCTGAAGAAGCGACAGCTTTAAGAATTTTTGTGATTCCAGAAATAGAGGAAGAACGGTGCATCATGGGATTGATGATAGAGCTCGAAAGATTAGGAAATAGGGCAAGATTCTATGTTTAGTATTTATGTCGATATAATCTATTTGCCTAAGTGCTTAGATGTTGTGTGTTGTTGAGTACTTTTTATATAAACTAAGTATTTTGAATCAATATTGGGTTACATTTGCATTTGTATTTTCATATGTTTTGTTTTCTCTAAATTTTCAAAATCTTAATGATTACATTATAACAATTTATTCATTAAAATTGACAAAATAATAAAATAAAATTTTCAATCATTTGTAGTTATCCTGACATACATCTCACACCCATACGGTACTCATCAGTCAACAAAGAAAATAGAAGACAAGATCGTCCAAATCGAAAAAACTCAACTTGACATGTAGGAGAGCTTTAAGAAAGTTCAGGAGGAGATACATGAACAAATGATAAAATCTCAGAATGATTTGATGGAGAAACTTGCGAGTATGTTACGAGGAAGAAATATTGAAAGAGAAGATACCCCAGTTGTCGGTGCTACTATCGAAGAACCTTTCTATCCCCTAGGTTTTGTACCACAAGTGGATCGTGGAAAAGCTTCAAATATTGGTGTTATAGCTCCAACTATTGGTATTACCTCTGAAGAACCCCTATACCCCCAGGCTTTACACCACCTCATGTTAAAGCACAACAAAGAGCAACTACACAATCATAAAGAATACAAGTAAACCTACATGGCTCTTCTTTAAACCCACAACCAATTAAAGACGTCCCTGATTTGGATGAGGAAGACAAAAAAGAACATGATAAGGAGCTCAAGAAACAATGGGAACAAATGAAGCATGAATTTCGAGCTATGAAAGAAGATGTTAGCTTATATGGAATCGACGCCAGAGAGCTAAGCTTGGTCCCTGATTTAGTACTACCACCAAAATTCAAAGTTTTAGATTTCAAGAAATTTGATGGCACCAGTTGTCCTTCTGCACATATTACCATGTTTTGTAGAAAAATGACAGGCTATGTGAGAGATGATTAGCTATTAATTTATTGTTTTCAAGAAAGCTTGGCAGGCTCAGCAATCCGTTGGTACAATCAGCTAAGTCGAACTCAAATTAAATCATGGAAGGATTTGGCCAAGGCTTTTCTAGAGCAATATAAACACATAAAAGATGTGAGGCCAAACCAAATTTTGTTACAGAGTATGGAAAAAAGATCTAACGACAGCTTTAGGCAGTATGCCCAAAGGTGGAGAGATATAGTTGTGCAAGTTCATCCACCATTAGAGGAGGAAGAAACTAATATGTTTTTTGTAAATACTCTGAGGGCCCCGTTCTTTGGACATCTTATTGGAAATTCATCCAAGAATTTTGATGATATAGTCAACGCAGGAGAAATGATTGAGATGGCGATCAAAAGCGGGAAGCTAGACGGGGGAGAATCTAGCCGAAAACCTCCAGCAAGAAGGAAGGATAATGATGTTAGTAATGTGAAGAAATATGATTCTAATAACATTACAGTATCTCGACCTCAAACCACCATATCGTCTGCACTAAATCCTGTTAAACAAGGGGTGAAAGAACCAAGACAAGAAAGGAAAAGGGTTCAATTTGACCTCATCCCTATGACCTATAAAGAACTATTCCAGATCCTGTACGACAAACATGTGGTGTCACCTTACCACACTTCTCCAATACAACCTTCTTACCCAAAATGGTTTGACATCAATGCTCAATGTGAGTATCATGCGAGGGCATCAGAGCATTCAATTGAAAACTGTCTAGCCTTTAAAAAGTTAGTGCAAAGATTAAGGCAAATAAATGTCATCAATTTCGGTGATAGCGAGCAGCCTAATGTGGCTCAGAATCCACTACCGAACCATGCAGGGGCAGGGGTTAATGTTGTCATTGAAGAAAGAGGAAATGAGGTTATAACCAGAGTCAATGAAGTAAAGTCACCCAAGTATTGGGTATGGGGGCAAATGGTCAAAGTAGGCTGGTTGACCTTTAATGATGAGGGGAATAAGTATGCTTGCCCCTACCACCATTGTGAAGATCATGTTATTGAATATTGTGATGAGTTCAAGGCCTTGGTTCAAAGGCTGATGGATAGTAAAGACATGGAATTTTACAATGAAGCTAAGAAAGAGAAAGAGGTAGAGATTTGCGCTTCCGAAGGCACATCCAAGGGACTTTACAATACTAACTGCCCTTTAGTCATCACACCGAAAGCCCGGACTATGGAAAGGTTAATCCCTAAAGTGGTGATCACGCTTCCATCATCATTTCCTTATAAGGATAACAAGCATGTCCCTTGGAGGTATGAATGCTAATTAGAGAATATTGAAAGTTCCGAGGCTGCTAAGGAAGAGGTGGATGAGGTAGGCGGCCACTTTACCAAAAGTGGGAGATGTTATTCTCCCAACCAGACCTGTGAGCTTGAGAATAGAGCAATCGTTGATAAAGGGAAAATGGTTGAGATATTGCTGAAAGATGATGAGCCAACAATTAAGGAGCCAGTAACAGAGAACGAGACTGTGGAGTTTTTAAATTTTTTGAAGCATAGCGAGTACAACAACGTCGAACAACTACACAAGTTACCATCTCGTATCTCGATCCTGGCTCTACTATTAAGTTCTGAGGCACATCGAAATGCCTTGCTGAAAGTCTTGAATCAGACTTTCGTACCGAAAGATCTGCCAGTAGAAAAGATAGATCGACTGGTTGTAAATATTCAGGCGGATAACTTTATTTCTTTCTCTGATGACGAGATCCCATCTAGAATGATGGGCAACCCCAAAGCCCTGCACATTACCATCAGGTACAAGAGACATGTGTTATCACGAGTACTGATCGATAACGGCTCTGCCCTAAATGTGACGCCATTAATAACCTTGAAGAAACTCCCGGTCGACAGTACACACATGAGAAATTGCCAAAGCATTGTTCGAGCTTTTGACGGAACAAAGAAGGAGGTACTGGGGAAGATCGATATTCCTCTAACCATAGGACCATCAACCTACGAGGTCGAATTCCTTGTAATGGATATAATGCCCTCCTATAACTGCTTGTTAGGAAGGCCTTGGATCCACCAGGCAGGAGCCATGCCATCCACTATGTATCAGAAACTCAAATTTGTAATTGAGGGGAGTTTGGTATGCCTTAATGTTGAGGAAGATATCATTGCTTCCATATCTACTACCTCCCCATATGTCGAAGTAAATGAAGATGTGGTCGAGTGCTCTTTCAGAGCCTTGGAATTTGTTAATGCCACCTTTGTTGCTGAAAGAAAGAAAATTCCAAAGCCAAGGTTGTCCAACTGTACCAAAATGGAACTGAAAATGACTTTGGGAAGAGGAGCCAAGGTTGGGAGAGGGCTTGGAAGTCGCTTACAGGGAAATATTAGTCTAGTTTTTCCCAATATTAAGCGAGATCGTTTTGGTCTGGGATATCGTCCGACCTTAAAAGAAAAGTTAAAAAATGTTTAAAAGAACCATGAAAGGAGAAAAGCCAGGTTATCTGGGGAGGATATTAAGTGGGAGCCCATGATTTTCTCACCGCTGTGTAACACCTTCATATCCGGAGGCCACATGTTTCAGGGGGCCCGATTATCTAAAGAGCCTGTTATTGAAAATGCCTTGAGGGATTTGGGTATAAATGTGATTATCGGAGGAAGGAATCGAAGATGGAATGGCTATGGGCATCTACCCTGTACCACTAGGCTTTGTGCTAAACAATTGGACTACATAAGAATTACCTGTAGTTTACAAAACTGTTTCAGAGTAATGCATAAAAACTTTCCCTATTGTCTAAACCCCGGGACAATAAGTGATCTTCTGTAAGGGGTTAATCTATCTATTTTTATTTTAATAAATGATGCATTCCTGTTAATTCACAAAATGGCAACATCATCCCTTGCATTTTTCTCGTTATTTATTTATTTATTATATATTATTATTTCATTCTATTTTCATATGGATAGATCATCATGTATTTGTATATATATATATATATATATATATATATATCCTTTTGTTCGTTATTCTTTCAGGACTTCCGGTATCAATAGTATGAATGCTGATGACTCTGACCTGAAGATAAATTTCGAGCTACCCATATGTCAAGGGGAAATTGGAGGTTATGATAGTGATGAGGGAAGCGACTTACCTTCTGAACTACTGAAAAATGGTAGAGAGAGAAGATAAACAAATTCTACCTCATGAAGAGCCCATTGAGATCTTGAATCTAGGATCAGAGGAAAATAAAAAGGAGATAAAAATTGGCACCATCATATCTGCTGAGGGACGACAAAGTCTGATTGAGCTACTTCGAGAGTACATAGATGTTTTTCCTTGGTCGTATGAGGACATGCCAGGTTTATATACTGAGTTAGTGGTACATAAGTTGCCAATAAAGCCCTTATGTAAACCGGTACAACAAAAGCTCAGAAGAATGCGACCTGAAATGCTACTTAAAATTAAAGAAGAAGTAAAGAAGAAATTTGATGCTGGGTTCCTGAAAATAGCCAAGTATCCGGAATGGATAGCAAACGATGTTCCAGTACCAAAGAAAGATGGGAAAGTCCGCATGTGCATCGAATACAGAGATCTTAATCTGGCCAGTCCGAAAGATAATTTTCCTCTGCCACACATAGATACCCTGGTGGATAATACGGCTAGAAACTTTCTATTTTTGTTTATGGATGGGTTTTCAGGTTACAATCAAATAAAGATGCATCCAAATTTTATGGAAAAAACTATATTTGTCACCATGTGGGGCATATCCTATTACAAGGTGATGCCGTTTGGGCAAAAGAATGCATGAGCAACTTATCAAAGGGAAATGGTAACACTATTCCATGATATGATGCATAAGGAAATAGAGGTCTATGTCGATGATATGATTGTTAAAGCTAAAACGGAGGAAGAACACATCGAGAATCTGAGGAAACTTTTCCAAAGATTAAGAAAATGCCAGTTAAAACTCAATCCAAGCAAGTGTACCTTCGGGGTAACTTTGGGAAAACTTTTGGGGTTTGTAGTAAGCAAAAAAGTGATTGAAGTAGATCCTGGCAAGGTCAAAGCTATTTAGGATTTACCACCCCCACAAACAAAAAAAGAAGCTCGAGGATTCTTGGGAAGATTAAACTATATTTCCCAATTTATTTCGCAATTAACTGAAAAGTGCGATCCCATTTTTCGTCTTCTCCGTAAAAATAACACAGGGGTTTGGAACTCTGATTGCCAAGGAGATTTTGAAGCAATAAAAGAATATTTGTCGAATGCTCCAGTCTTAATGCCACCAATATCAGGCAAACCATTAATCCTCTACTTGTCAATATTTGAGAATTCAATGGGGTGCGTATTAGGGCAGCATGACCAAACTGAGAAAAGAGAAAGAGCAATCTACTACCTCAGTAAAAAGTTCACTGATTGTGAGACGAGGTACTCACCAATAGAAAAGTTGTGTCGTGCTTTAGTTTGGACTACCCGAAGGCTCAAGCAGTATATGTTGTATCATACTACTTGGCTGATATCTAAACTTGATCCTCTGAAATATTTAATGGGTGTACCTGCTTTATCTGGAAGATTGGCTCGTTGGCAAATCTTATTGTATGAATTTGACATCCAATATGTAAGCCAAAAAGCAATTAAAGGAAGTGTTGTGTCCGATTTCATTGCAAGTAGGGCTTCTGAAGAGTATGAACCACTGAACTTCGATTTTCCCGACGAAGATTTAATGGTTATTTCAACTGAAGAGAAAGTTTCCTCTACTAATGAACAGTGGAAGATGAATTTCGATGGTGCCTCAAACGCCTTGGGGCACGGAATTGGGGCAATTCTAGACTCACCTAGTGGAAAACACTATTCTTTTACTAGTCGATTGAACATTGATTGCACGAATAACATGGCCGAGTATGAAGCATGCATCCTGTGTCTTAGAGCTGCCATTGAGCGTAAAGTGAAAAAACTTAAAGTATATGGGGATTCAGCCCTGGTAATTTATCAACTCAGAGGTGAATGAGAAACAAAGGATGCGAAGTTAGTGGAATGCCGTAAGTTGGTCATAGAGCTCATTAAGGAATTTGAGAAAGTGATATTCATTTTTCTTCCCAGATAAGATAATCAAATGGCAGATGCCCTAGCCACTTTGGCAGCAGCCTTTAAAGTCAATGAACATTCAAGCATGATGCCTATTACGATGCAAGCTTATGGGTATCCAGCCCATTGCTATGGCATAGAAGAGGAAGATGATGGAAATCATTGGTATTACGACATCTTACAATACATTAGATATCAAAGTTACCCCGAGCAGGCCACTGAAAATGACAAAAGAACTATTCAAAGAATGGCCGTAGGATATGTTCTTAATGGCGAGATCATGTATAAGAAAAGTCACGATCATGCCTTTCTGTGTTGTGTGGATGCCAAAGAAGCTAGAACGATCATTGAAGAAGTGCATGAAAGAGTATGTGGTACCCATGCTAATGAGCATGCAATGGCTAAACAAATAATGAGATTTGGGTATTATTGGTCAACCTTGAAAACTGATTGTATCAATTTCGCCAGAAAATGTCATAAATGCAAGATTTATGGAGATAAGCTCCATACCCCTCCTCATTCATTGCATGTAATGACTACTCCATGGCCATTCTCTATGTGGGGCATGGATGTTATTGGGCAAATTTTACCCAAAGCTTCTAATGGTCATCGTTTCATATTCGTGGCAATAGACTACTTCACTAAATGGGTAGAAGCAGCCTCCTATGCAAATGTTACTCAGTCAACAGTTTGCAAGTTCTTGAAGAGAGAAATTATTTGTCGGTATGGGCTACCAGAAAGGATCATCACTGACAATACCTTGAATTTAAACAACAAGATGATGAAGTCAGCATATAAATAGTTCCAGATTAAACATCATAATTCTACCACCTATCGCCCAAAGATGAATGGAGCGGTAGAGGCCGCCAATAAGAACATCAAGAGGCTCATACAGAAAATGACTGAGACTTATAGAGACTGCCATGAGAAGCTACCATTCGCTCTGTTTTCCTATCGAACTTCAGTGAGGACGTCCACTGGGGCAACTCTGTTTTCTATAGTTTATGGGATGGAAACTGTGTTGCCCATCGAGGTTGAGATTCCGTCACTACGAGTGTTGTCAGAAGTTAAGCTAGATGAAGCATAATGGGTGCAAACTAGGTATGATCAGTTGAATCTGATTGAGGAAAAAAGATTAAAAGCTATCTGCCACGGGCAAATGTACCAGAAACGTATGATAAGGGCACATAACAAAAAAGTTCGCCCACGAGAGTTTCAAGAAAGAGACCTGGTGCTAAGAAAGATTTTGTCAATTCAAAAAGACTTTCTAGTTAAATGGATGCCAAATTGGGAAGGACCTTATGTGGTAAAGAAGACCTTTTCTAGAGGAGCTTTAATCCTCACCGAAATGGATGGACCAGAGTTACCTAACCCTGTGAATGCTGACGCAGTCAAGAAATATTTTGCCTGAAAAAAAATGAAAAAGACTAGAAAAAATGAAAAGAAAAAAATAGAAAAATAAAATAAAAGGAGGTTTCAAGATGAAAACCCGTAACGAGCGTCTTCAAACCAGAAAATGTCTCAGGTTGAAAACTCATAAAGGACGGCTTGAGAATTGTGTAAATTCAGAATTTGTGCATGGCAGAAATTCTGAATTAGTTTTGGTAATCAAAGAAAGGGTTGGAAATCGCAAAGCTTGGGTAACAAGAAAGTAAACGAGATTCAAACACTGGCTTACGACATCCAACAGTCAGGAATTTGGCAGTACAGGGGAACTTTACACCCTTACGCATTACCACAATCCTCAAGATACCCTTGACAGAAGCTACACTCAGGTCTTCCTACGGCGTGCCAGTTCAAAAGTATTCGTACTATTGATATCTGACGACGCCTACTGTGTTTTATTTTGATTATTCTAGTTAAAAGTTTGCCATGTATTTACCAAAAAAATCTTTATTTTTAAATAAAAAAGGTCTTTTTCCACATTGCAAGCATCCTAATTAAAAAGTGAAAACATGTAGATTAGCTCGGGAAACAAGAGATCATCGTGCGTTATTGTACAAAAAGTTTTGAAAAATACAGGTATTCCGAAGCTGAAAAAGGTCTTAGTATGAGGTTTACGCAATGGTGGGCCACAAGAAATTAAGGTCTTAAGATACACACAAAGGCTCAACAATGTGGGATAATCCAAGAAATCTTGTCATTAATCAAATAGTTGGTCATGAGAAGCACAGGGGTTCAAAGAGTAAAGAGAATCAGAGTTAGGTTCAACCAAAGAATTTTCAACCAGGATTGTTGATTGAGATGAACTGCTGTTGATTTTTTCGTGCCCAAATCAGTCTTAAGTACAAGGTCGTTATCAAAAGAAAATACTCTCAAAATAACTGCATCATTGCACACATTTTAGGCATAAACAGGATAATGACATAAAATGCATAATAATGAGT